GTTCAAATGGCCATCAAAATATGCAGAGGTGGTCAGGAGTTTTACTTCGGCCAGTGTTGATGCGGATTTTGTCGAAATTGATGGAATTATGAACCCAGAAAAGTGCCACTGGATTTTCAAGCGCCATGCAAGCTCATCTAACAAGGGTGTGATTAGTAACAGCTTCATGTTTTCAGCATGTCAAAGATCCCAAACACATTGGCAGTGCAGTAAAAGCACACCTGGAGAGAAGGCACAATGAAACACACACAGAAAATGGAACAAAATCAGCCAACATCCAAAGAAGAGATTGAATAGCCTTCAAGAAGCCTGGAGAACTATTCCTGAAGACTACTTAAAGAAATGATAAGAAACCTCGGCTAAGAGAGTTCAGGCTGTGTTGAAGAATAAAACGAGTCATACTAAATACACACACATACACACAGAGAAAACAAACTCCAGCACATTATAGTAGAAAAGAGCTGCTCCCCCCAAAGATTTCTTACTTTTTTTTACTTTTTTTTGACAATATTTGCTGTTTGTGTGACACACTACTAAAAATATAAAAAGCATACAGTACTTGGTTGAGACGTAACATTTTAACAACAAAAGTATAGAAATCCCCCCCTCCTAAAATGGTTTGTTCCAGCTCGCCTCTCCCCTACTCTGGCTCTAGCGCTCTTGCTGCCAGAGCGATGGTGGCTGAGACGCAGCAGGGCGGAGGTGTTAGTGCCTGGCTTAAAACAGGACATATTGGCTGCATTTAACCTTCAGTTACTCTTTATATAGTTTGGTAGGAGTCAGGCCATGTTTCTTTTTAGCTGAAAAACATTACACCTAGGTAACCTGCAGTGTTGAAAACTTGTTTTCCGACGATGTTTGCTACCCTACAATCCGTCCTGCTCTGTAGTAAATTCAGCGACATTTGACCGTCCTGTTGCTCCCATTGAAATGTATACAGCTTATTTAAAATCTAAAACATATAATTGTCCGTAGCCTACTGTTGTTACCACTGTCCTGTTAGAAATGGATACTAACTGACTGAATGCCCATTAACCTTATAACTCCTGGTGTGTGTGTGTGTGTTTGTGTACAGAGAGACAGCCAGGTTCATAATGGATATAAGAAAGTTTTTTCAAAAAAAAGGAGCCACATTCAGGTAAAAGTGTAAAATCAAATGACCTGTGAATCAGGAATAATATTGGATCAGTGTTTCAATATTTATATATTTTATTAGATATACATGTGGTTTGGTTATTTGCCTTTTGGTTGAAAGTACACTGAGAGAGGACTTTTTGTTAGTGATCTTAATATTATTTTTTCATATTAATTTAATTTTTCATCTAATTGAATACAATCTATTTGTGTATGATTGTCAGTCCAAAGAGGGAGAGAGGAAAGAGGGGAACGTGAGGAGAAAGTACAAGGTCAGAAAGAACCAGGTAAGAAAACAGACAGGGAACAGTGACAGGCACAACAGAAACTGTTAAACTGACAAAGAGAAAAAACTAATTTTACTCAAACAATCTGGAAGTTGTGTCCTCCCTATATTAAATCTGCTATACAGAATCTGCAAAACAAATTGGGTTGAAACATTTTTGACCCTCTTTAACAACATTCCAACATAACATTATAATTGATTGAGTCTTTGTGTGTAACCCATCTGAGCTAGAGTAAAAAAAGGCACCATTTCTTGGATATCCTTGTGCCTTCTGCTGAGTTGCTCAGCTGAATTTCTGGCCATGAAAGCAGAAAATACCCCAAACCCTGGGTGAAAGAGTGGTACAGCATACTCAGTCAGTACACTTGAGCTGGAATGGGTGGACATTAAGAAGTCCAACGTGTGGGCAGGGAAGAAAAGTAAAAATCCTTGACAACAGTGATCGGAGCAGTTTTAGCTACATGATGGTTTCAGGTTTGAAGCAAACTGGAAGCACTTTTCAAGAAGCACAGCTGGAGATTTAGATGTGGACCAGTGTCATTTCATCTTTTAACACAGCTGAGCAAAACGCTCATCATGATCACTTTTATCTACGATTAATGGGCGCACACCACATATTTTGGGATTGGTCCAGTGTACTGTGAGATTGTCGCTGTCAGGGAATGAAAGACTTGAAATAAGCAGCTGCTAACATTTTTCTGAAAGGCTCCACGTTAACCTTTTCTCCAGACGGAAGCTTCTCGCAGCAGTTTGCTGACATTCTTGCACTGTGCGGATTTTAACATCTTCATAATCAGTAGAGTATGCATACAGTTTCAGACTTGCATAGACTGTTCAGGTAATTATTTAACAACAGTCTGCAGGTGGGTTGCTTGGCAGAAATTTAATTGCGAGTTTCTTTGTGACAAATATTTGAGCAACAAATCTGGCTGCATGCCTAGTTCATAGCTTGTGCTGCAGATGGACTCCCAGTTTTTATGGTCTTATTTTATGGTGAAGGTAGTCGCTATTCTGCTCTGCAGCTGCCGTGAACTCAGCATAGCAGCACAGCAACAAGCGCTTCACCTTCAGCAGCTTAGAGCGGCCTCCCAGGTCAGATCTTCACAGAGGATCTCCAGAGATGGAGATGAAGGACTGCAGTCCCTCATCAGCTGCAGTCTAAAGCCTTGATTGTACTCTGTTGCTGACATGGACACGGACAGCTGGACACAATACAACACAGCAGTCATTCCTGTAATATTTTGCTGAAGTCTTCTTGAAATCCACCTCCCTTGGGTGTGTGAGCAGTATGTGAATTTTAATGTAAATTCTTCTACGACAAGTCAGAAAAAACAAGCAGGTACGCAGACATCCACGCAGATTCTCAGCGTTGTTATTGACAAAATGTATGTCTCACTGACCCGAGCGCGCTCTGGCAGACTCAGGTTTTGTCAGATGCAGTCTAAAGCCTTAATTATACTCCACTGTGGACATGGACAGAGACAGCTGGAGACTCCACATCCTGTAATACACAGAAAGAATCACCTGATTTCAAAGGAGTATTTTTTTTAAGTAATAGACATAGAAGCTTGCGGTAAATTTAAAAAATATGGTTGAATAGTTTTACATACAAAACTTCCAATCTTCACAATTGTTTGAATGAATGTGTTCCCCTCGTGAAGCACAGCTTATGTCTATTTTGTGAGCATGTCTGGAGTCACTCCAGCTGCTGCTTTTGTTATGCTATCTACTAGCAACAGGGTGAAACTCACAAATCCCCTCTTTCTAACAGTACATGATTTGATAATTACTGGTGAACGGCTGCAGAATTAAAGTGCTTTGAAATCGGATTATCCTTTTTGATACAGCCTGTAGAGGTCTGCTAGCAATCTGGCACCTGGAGCGCATGCGTAGTATGTAACTGTAATGCAAATTCTCCACAGATGAGTCAGCACAGTCGCGGCGTCTGATGGCCAACTTTCCATCACTCAGGCTTAAGTGGACTCTAGTGGATTTATGGATACAGAAAGAAAAAAGACCTAAAAGTAAAATTATACTTCTGTGGTTAACGTATGCATTTGGAACTTCGTAACAAAACCCTAAACCATAACCTACGGCGAAACCAGACGTGTTGCTGTCTAGAAATGTAACTGCATATCACCGTTAACGTTAACAAGTATGAATGTGGCCATGGTGTCAGCCACCGGCGTACGCTGTATCGTAGGTTCTACATAGATTCACCACAGAAGTCTTAATGAAGCTCAAGACTGTAGAGTTAAACTTTGACCACAGATTGAGCGACTCAACCAAGAGGAACCTGAATGATAATGAGCGACGCAGCATCAGTGATCAATCCCAAAAGAAGCACGAGATGGAAAGGACCAATAGCTAAACTGTCAAACTATGAGTAAGGGGACTCTACAAGTACTTTGGATGGATTTTTAAAAAGTAAAAATAGTCTAAGATGAGATATACTTTGGGGGGCCATTAATAATCTGGCAAACCTCCCCAATAAAGTCTTTGCGAAGCACTAAAAGTAGTCTGCTAGCTAATGTTAGCCTGAAGGCTAGGATTATTGCTGTATTGTGAAAAGCCTTTGCTTCATCTTACCTGTACTCTGAAACTATACAGAAGCTGGTTGTTTAGCAGTCAGCCTTTTAAATATCCTCTCATCAACTTCTGGCTTCTTGTAGATTCTCCTTTAATAGACGTTGTAAAAATGTTGAGTCGCTCTTTGAGTTTGCAAGTGCTTTGGGGTTTTTAAAAGTAGTTCTGTAAACCATTTATATTACTGTATATCCTGGGCCAAACACTGATTCTGAGCAATGTCCAAGACTACATTTCTCCTTAAAATGTTGGGTGAACTGGAGATTATTCATCTCAGAAACTGCTTTGGTCTGATCTCTTTTAGTTAGATGATTAGATGTCTCCTGGATACAGCATATCAAGTATCACTGAACTGCTGACTTATGAAGCCTTCACCATTGTGAGTAACATATCGTAATTACTTTAATATGTTATGGAGTGTACGCGGACATTCATCTTGTAGCGGATCCATGTCAGTGGATTTTTTCCTGTTACAGACATCAGATGTTATTATGCAATTCAGGCAGAACCTTTAAAATAAAACAGGGCTGTAAAGCGCTGCCAGCACTGCCTTGAGGAATCACAAGGCAAGACACCACATGGAGCTAGACTTCCCCTGTTTTCCCTGCACACTCATTAAACAAATTCTCTCAACCCTGAAATGTTGACAGGAGAAAGTGTTGGCGAGTAAGCTGCTAAATCAACACCGAATTTTGCAGAATTGCTGGAAAACAAAGTTTGTTTCAGAAAGGTTTTAAACTCCATAATCTTACCGAATTATTTACGAACCCCAAAACAAAGCACGCTTTTTAATCATTAAGTCATCAGACTCTGAAAATTGTCCACTTTCCGATTGTTAGCTTTCATCTTTTTCTACCTTTTGCATTCACGCCACAGCTTTCTGTTTTTGCTGATTGCTCAAGACATAGAGAGCGACACCAAATGATATGTCTCTGTTGTTGTGCTAAATGGGTGGAAGATTTTAAAAAAAAAACAACACCAATTGTTGTGGCTTTTACAAAATACATTTTTTTTATCAGCTCTGAGATGTTGCTAGTCCAAGCTGAGAAGGAGAAAGAGACAAACACAAGCCAAAAATAAATGAGAAGGGAGGGGGGTAACAAAAATAATCATCATAGAATTTCACAGTGCAAAAATCTATTATGTACACAGTGTTTGCTTGTATTTACATGGGCATGAACAAACATACAAAATATATAGAATCCAGAATCCACAACACTAATAATATGTCTTACAGTGTGCACAAGATCCAGGAAACATCACCATAATAAAAATGAAGAGGAAGATGTATTTCATACTAAAATAAATAGTTTTTCTCTCATACTAAAACATTTGAATCAGTAAAACCTATTCTGCCATCATGATTGTCTCTCTACGGTCCTTCCTAGTTCCTTACAGCCAGCTGGTAACATAAAAGTCACTGAAATATGAAACATATCCCAATGTCTGTTTTATGCAAAGGGGTGGGGGCTGTGTGGGGATTTGACAGGTGAAGCCATGAAAAGGGACTGAATGCATTCAGCTTGTGCAGTGTGCGGTTTATGTACTGTAGCGAAGCTGCGCCATTACAACTAGTAAATAGTGGCATCCCTGATTTGAGTAATTTCATCAAAATGATTTGATTTTCTGAACTGATTCATGAGTGACTCTGTGTGATTCGCTCTCAGTGGTGAGTGCTCAGATGTACTCAGATAAATCTCCTATATAGCTATGAAAATATTTTTTAAAATGGTCTGCATTCATATGATTTTCCTCTGATTAAAGAAAGCAAATACTTACAGATTAATGAATATCAACAAGCCAATTCTTACAATCATTACAATGTACAAACTTATTCTGCATGGATACCTGTGGAGCATCTCTTATCCGTATCGGACAGTGATCTCACAATGTCTATGAAGATTATATGTATTTAGAGCTTTTTCTTATTCTAATCTCTCACAGGTGGTGCCCGACAGTTGACAATGACAAGGCAAATAAAAACTGAGCACACGTTCAACAAATGCACCACGTACACATAAAATGAAAGTAAAAATGTTTTTTCATTATGTATATATATATGTAGCCAATTTAGTTTTTCAAACACGTTTGAATTGATTTTTGTGATTTCAGAATTATTAATAGTGATTCTTTGTTCACAGTTGAAACTAATCTCTAAAATGATCAAAGGCATCATGTATTGAGGTTGTGATTTTAGCTTAGACGTGCGACGAACATGACGACAGTGCAGAGTCAAGTGATTAAGGCTCCAGTCACACAGGCCTACAGCCTGGTCAGTGACTCCCTGGCAACAAACTTGTGTTTTGGTTGCCTGTAGTTACATGCAACACACTGACTTGCCTACAAACACAACTCTCTGAGCAGCAGTGAAAGTGCAAAGAGTGCGACACAACCTGGAAGCAAAGACCGTTTTCCTTCACAGTAAAAGCTTTTTGAAACATGTTGGGTGGATCGCTAACATTTACTTTTAAGGTGAACCTTCAACATCAAATTTTGACTTCATTTTAGTCACAGTCTTTTGACTAAAACATAATTTAGTTTTAGTCTAGTCGTAGTTAACTAAATGTTATAAGATTATAGTAGACTAAATCTAAGCTGGACTAAAATAAAAAGTCTAAAAGTTTGTTGAGTTGCTCCACACGGTTTACAAAGTGTCTGATCTTCCTTGACATGAAATACAAAAAGTGTCCATAAGTCTACGCTTGTCTTCCTCCCAAGTGTTGACTATTTGTCGCACTTTCATTAGAAATCGTCACTATCTAGTCTCCCTCTCAAAGAAAAAAAATGTAATTTGTTTTGATTGGATCTCGTTTCAGAATTTTTTTTCTATTCTATTTCTATTCGTTGGCAAAACGTCAACATGTTTCAGCATAGTTTTTGTCCTCATACATTAGTCTTTATTTAGTTATCACCTTGTTTTTGTCAGAAAAATAAAGATAATTGACTGAGCGGAACATTTTCTGCTCTCCATCCACTTTGTCAAGTCTTATTACATTACTACTAGTTGGTGGTTTAAAAGTGAGTGTTTGCAGACAAGACAGTGTCTCCTATGCCATTTACAGGTGACCACAACAGTTTGATCACCACCACAGCAATCATAAGTGTTCTGGTGCTGCGCCCTCTTTGCATTCGATTTCACCAAGTGACAGCCAATCACTTGCCAAGCACTTGGGGAACACACACTTCACATTCGGTGGTTGTATCACGTCCAATATGGCAGACAACACTTGAGCAAACCTCTGTTTGAGTAATATTTTTTTTAAAAGGTTCGAGGTCTCTCCCTCCTCCAAGTACTCAGCCTTTAGTTTAAAGTACTAGATAAGTTAATGTGTTTAGATGTTAAAAGATGTACATCTTTATTTTGGAGAAATCAGCACGAGCGCCAGCGAGAACAACTCACGCTGACGCACTGCTGAATTTCTGCTTACTAAAAGTGCAAAAGATACCGAGTATTACCAGCTTTATTATATAAGATGTTACTTCTACATGCTTTTTACCAAGAATTTAGCTCAACTTGAAACGCTTTTCCATTTTGACAATGTAAGCAAAGAGAAGTTGCTGCTAAGGAGGCAAAAACAAATCACAGTAATGTGAGCAGCCAGAGGATTTAATAGCCATTGGCTACATGCTCTAGAAATATAAATGTTTTGATCTGGTGGAACTGAAATGTCTCTTATTGGACATGCAGTTTAAAAAATGACCAGATTTGAAGGACCTTGCACAGATAAATGCAAGACACGGCATTTACTAAGGTTTCAACAAACCCTTAACCAAGCCTAATAAAGAAAAGGCAGAGGAGTAATAGGAACGTGTTTAGGACCACTGATGGATGAGTTTAAACATCATGTTTGTGCAAGACCGTGACAAAGACGTGAACATGCATTTAAGACATCGGTAGGTTTAGTGTGCGCATACAGTTTGGATTTGATCTTTAGCGAGCCTTTTTCATTTCTCCGATAAAAGCAGGTGACAGATTAGAGACATCATGAGCTCACAAAGGATGGCTGAGGATAAATTAGAATCATTGGCAGAGCTGACTGAATCATAACTCAGAACACAGTGGATCAACTCCGGTGGCTCTTCGGCCTCAACAGAACGGTTTTATTTTTAGCTTTGAAGTATTTTGTGTGTGTGCATTTTTGCGTCACAGCCCTGTGAGCTTCAGCATCGGCACAAATACAGCAACTGCATAACAACAAAGCAGTCAGGAATGCAGCATCACGGGACATTTACTGAGCACGTACTAGGGAATCGGCAAGGATAAAACATTGATAGAAAGTGTGGGTGGGGGGAAAACAAAAATCTTTTTAAAACATTTAAAACACTTTTTTTTTTAAATGAAACATGGTGAACATACATTATGTACACAATTCCAGAGGTTGGAGCGGAGAGGGTCTTCTGAAAGTTGACCTCTTTCATGGCACATTTGATCAGGTCGATGAGGTTTGCTGACGTTTGCGTGTGTGTTTGCGTCCGTGTCTTTTGCTTTATGGCACCTGTGCTTAGCTGGACATAGTACGCCCCCCGCGGTCGTGACCACCAAACAGTACCCTTTGGTATAGGTGAGGTTAGGAATGATTGGTTCGTCTACTTCGCTTTGATAGTTATCATCAATACCATCGCAGTCATTATTTACCTCTACATCATCGCTGTCACCTTCAGCACCGTCAGGAAAAGAAAGAAAACTTTGCTACCCTCACACAGTCACAGTTATTTCCACACTAGTGCAAGCCTCCATCACTGCGAGCGTTCACACGCAGTTTAGCAGCTTTAGGAAATTGACACATGTCAAAAGCAGCTCTCCTTACGTCACAAGTTCTCAACATCAAAGTTCTGAAAAAGCAGGTGCAACAGCAATGTAAAGTAAAGTGTCAGCCTTGTAGCTAATCCACGTCAATGAGCTTTTTGTTTTCAGGCCTCTATCATCCTCCTGAGCTGAGCATTAGCCCCGGAGATTTAATCGCTGAGATATGGCAGGTGAACTGAATTCATTTTCTTCTTTTTGCTGTACATTTACTTTGTTGCTCGTCCTCGGCTTTTTCCACCGCTACACATTTTATCCTCGGCGTTACTCAAGCGTACGTGTCTCCCGACTTTAGCGCCACCAGCTCAGAATCCTCCGTGTGGCGCCCGTTCAAGTGTTCGGTGTTACAGTCGTGATGGTACATGAAGGCGGGTACCTCGGTGATGGAGGTGGCCGTGTAGGACGTGGAGCGCATCGAGCAGTGGTCCTTTCGTCTCTGACCCCACTGGGTTTTATACTGCATCCACTGTCTCTTCACAGCTGCCTGCACCTGGATGTCACACAAGCACATAAAAAAGGTGGTTTAGTGTCTCATATGTAGACACATGCAGCCTTAATAATAGTATTTTACATCTAATTTAATTATTTGACTTCACTGCAAGCTTTGTTTTTGTGTTTTGAGTCGGAGAGGTTTGTGACAACACTGATCCAGCTAACAATGATCTTAACTGATGTGCATGTTATTACTGCAGCATGTGTGGGCCACTCAAATTTCAATCACATTAGCAGATGACAGCTATAAAATGTAAATGGCCATTTTTGGTGGGCAGGGGTGGCCAGGTTGTGCATGTGGCCAGATCATCTCACTATAAAAAGAGATAAATACACAAGGTTTATCTTTCTAGTACTGGGCAGGAACCCCATTTGCTTCAGAACTGCCTTAATTTGTCGTGGCATACAGTCAACAAGGAGCTGGGAACATTCCTCTGAGCTTTTTTGATGAGTGAGTGAACTTATTGTCATGTTCAAGATACCAGTTTGTGATTAACTGACTTTTGTGACATGGTACATTATCCTTAACAACCATCAGAAGATGGGGTATGCTGCAGACATGGTCAGCCAAAGTCTGAGCTTACTATCCAAATACTGCAGCAAAAGTCGACACTCAGCCAACATGTTTCCAATTTTTTGTCTGTTGTCCAATTTTGGTGATCTTGCACAAATTGTAGCATCGGTTTCTTCTTCCTATCTGACAGCAGAATGGTCTAGCTAAGACATCTTGCATGGTCTACTTTGGTCATTGAAGCACATCTACCTCAAGTATCAGCATTTTGTGCTTTCAGAGATGCTCTTATGCATACCTTGGTTGTAACTCTGACCAGTCTCCTCTAATCTGACATCCACAAGGCATGTGTTCGCCGGGTATTTCCTCATTTCAGGCCCATTCTCTATAAACCTAGAGATGGTTTGTAGGAAACTCCTAGTAGCCAAGCAATGATGATGCAGTGACAATGATGCCACATTAAAAGTCACTTAAATTACGTTTTTCCCCATTCTGATGTTTAAAATTTGGGAGGTTGTCTAGACCGTGTCTAAATACTGATTAGATATATGCAGCAACAAGCAGCTGAACAGGTGTACATAATGAAGTGATCTATAACCATGTTATAAATAAATTTACTTCCACACATTTCACCTATTAAATCTAACAACAGTTAAATGGCATCTTTCCACCGATGCCATTCAAAGGTAGGAAAACATGACCATGATTATCCCAAAGGGTGCATACAATTTTCTCTTTCTGGCATCCTGACTAAAAAACAAAGGGCACAGTTTCTTTCTCTTCAGGCTTTGCACCAATTAAATGATCAGAATATGACTCTAGTGATTATGTAAGCAACAAGGGGGGAACTCAATAGGCATGTTGACAACCATTGTTATCTTGCTGCAACCATTTGACGCATTAAACACATTAATTTACTGTGAACCAAATCCATTTGTGTCATCACAAAATCCATTACTACCCTCGTGACTTATAGCACGTAACCCTTCATAATCCTTCTATTTAAGCCTTAATGCGATCATTAGTCACAGCGTTACATGCAGAAACGTCAATCAATCTCGCCCCAGTCCAAAATTCAGCAGTGCTTTTCCCTGTCAGCTTGCTTGAGAATCGTGTGTGTCTGATATGTCTTAGAAACTATGAGGTCATTGAAATAACTAGAAAATATGGAACTATTTTTTTGTCAATAGAGTCTTCCTGCGAGTTCCTTAATAAAAACAATTCAAACTTTTCAGGCAGCAGCCCTGCAGACTGGCCCCCGGCGCTGCATCTGAACAAACAACAGCAACTCTTCGTGGAAACCAATATTAGCATCACACTACATGCATGCTAAGTTGTCTACAGCATATGGTAGATTTTCTTTATAAGTTCTTCCCTTAACACAAACTACACGGGACTAACGGTGCAAAGGTAATCATTTTATTCAGTCATGTCTTAATACCACTGTAATTACTGTGGGTACATTATCACAGAATGATCTAATGATATAAATTATGCCACTAATTGTCATTCTGAGACAAATGAGCATCTGAGTCTTACAGCTTCATGCTGAACGTCGTGCTTGGTGTCACAAATACAGTTTGAAAGCTGTTTGTCTCACTGACCTAACCTCACAATGGGGCTATTGAACAAACAAGGCAGGTCTTTGTAGTTTGGCCTTGAAATAAAAAAAAAAAGAATTGAACTCAGCCCAGGAAACCCGTTTCCTGATTAAGAGAGCATGAATTGGCCATTATGCCGGTGAAGCAAACAAACCACTGCATTCCCTTGTGACAGTTCGTGTGTTCACCCTTTACACGTAGCACCCTACGCATTGATTGTGTTTGACAAATTGTTTGCATCCTTTACGGTGACGAGACTGCTTTCTGTCTGCTCATGTACGAGTTAATAAGTGACAGATTTTCCAAGCTGGATGCATAAAACAGAGCTTGACAGTGGGTTGCTAGGTCCTCTTTGCCAAACACCTCATGCTAAGTGCTCTAACACTTAGCGTGGACATTGTGCTGTGGAATGCGTGCGGTTGGCGTAGGGCTGCGTGAGTCACAAAAACACCACGATGAGCTTTTGTTTTAATGTTTCCAGTATTTTGAGGGGCCACAATTCTGTGAAACTTTAAGATTCTTACCTAGTTTTTGTGAAATGTGTGAGTTAGGATGATGTTAGCAGATGTATCGGCAAAATAAAATCTGATGCTGGAGTAATTTCCTTTATGCTAGCTGTCGTCAGTTCTGACACCCAGAAGTGTCGGTACTGGAGGGGGGGAATCAAACCTGGTCTATTTTTATGTTTGCAGAGGCGCGATCCCTGGCGTGTCTCTGTGCCCAGTGTAGCCAGTTTCACTGATTATTGTGAAGGCTTATACTGCAGCTACTCTGCAAACACATTATTCCACTTCCTGACCTCCAAAACTTCCAAGTTGCTTTCACTGTATGTTTTGGCTCATTGTTCACGTGTGAGGTGCTTCTGTTGAAACACAAACCAATAAATTGGATTGGATTTAACCTGAGCAGAAATTAAAATGTTACACTCCAGAATTCTGCTTCTGTCTTTTCTCAACTCACAAATAATGAAAACACTAGTGAGTGAACATGTTCACAGCACGTGTTTGCCTTGTCACAGTAGAGAAAGCACAGGTGGACTTCAAGATGACTCATGTCCATTAGGTGCCGCAGTAAGCCTTAAGAGTGGAACAGCACAGACAAAAGCAGGGAATTCCCTAAGTGTGATGTATTTTTCCAACTGTGACAAATCAAAACATATGCAGTGAAAAAGCATACAAGCTGATGCCATTACATTTCCCCCACATTGTTTTACAGGTGATGGTATACTGTATGCTTTGGATCATTTGCAGATCCAAGCATTTTCCATGCATTTCTTTCTTCCCATCCTCCTGCCAGATTTTAGTGTTATTCTCATCTCTACAAAGAATCCTTTTTTAAAATTGCTCTGGGATCTAAAAGTGTTTTGGCAAAGTCTAATTAGGCTGTTCTATTCCTGGAAAGTTGCCTGACTCCTGGAAAATGTTGGGACACCAAAGCCTCTTGTAGCTAAAGTCATCATTGTAAAAATCAGATTTTGTTGGAGATTATTCTTAAAACAATTATTTTAAGAAATATCAAGATCCTAAATTCCCATAGGCTGGTATTTATTATTGGTATTTTCCATTTATCCTTATCAGGGTCGTGGGGGAGTGCTGGAGCCTATCCCAGCTACCATAGGGCGAGAAACAGGGTATACCCTGAACAGGTTGGCAGTCAACCATTTGCTCTCACATTCAGACCTATGGGTAAATTAGAATCAACAATTAATCTGACCCCACTAATTGCATGTCTGTGTACTGTGGATGGAGTATTTTTTCATTGTGAAATGGAGAAGAAGAAGAATTGTACAGTAAAATTCTTAGTGCTTCTGCACACAGACATCATTTGCTTTGCATACTGAAGGACTGCATGAGGGCAGAGCCTGCACAGCAAATGGTTGCTCTTAATGACAGCCCTCACAGTATGGGACCGTACAGTAGGTTCTGGCTAGAAATAGGACCCTGGCCAAAACCATTTTCATGGTGTGAAGTGATAAGCAAAGGAGACCAATCCATACAAATTTATTTCACTTGGCTTTAATGTTTTCGGGAGTTTGTGCATCTCTGCAGTATTTTCCACTATTGCAACAAAACACCTCATAAAAAAGCATCAATATTTGTTTGGGGAACACAATTTACAGCATAAATATTTCTTAATTAAACCCCTTAATTAAATATTACAGATAATAGCAATTAAATAGTTGTTTAATTGCTTGATGTCTACGTGCCATTCACACACTAGCGTGGACTAGCAAATGCCTGAAATGTGTACTCTAATGTTACAACCCTTGTGGAGACTTGAGCTTGAAAGCATGTTTCACACATTGAGTCGGGAGAGCTGTGAGGTCTTCACAGCATTATTAACCTGAGATCTGAAGCGTTTGAATCAAGTTAAGGATGCTGCTGTCAGACAGCTGCAGACAGGCTTAGAAAGGCTGACAGGAGAACGAAGAAAGAAGAGTCAATATTCAGCTGAGCTTGGAAACCACACAGTCATTTATAAAGTGTGTCTTACTCCTCGCCTGACATGACCCTTCTGCTTTTACTGTTGTAGCACCAGACTGGTCTCAGAAGAGGAAAAAGCGGAGGAATGTTTTATAACCTGCTACATTTGGAATTTGGAGAGATCTCTGCGAAGCTACAGCTATTTTACCCACGTACTCAAGGCCAAAACCAAAACTATGAGTCTGTGTTTGATATTCATGGGTCACTTCTCGATACAGATGGAAGAGATCTGACCTGAAAACAAATTTTGAAAATGTTTTACCTGATGCAGTCTGATGTCTCATGCATAATGTCATAAGGGATGAGCGGTTTTATTACACAATCACTGAAAAGCTCCCAGAGTAACATGTGCAGGTTGACCTTTCCAAAAGGCCAATTGCTCAATCAAAACTAAGCTATTATGATGTCAAACATGGCACAGGGGTACAATATTTTTTAAAGGAACTCTCAGATATTTGGGGGATTATTCACTTTCTTGCCAGAAGTAAACCGCTATGATTGATACTGTCACAGACCCGGCTCTGGAGGACTCAGGGGTCCGTGAGCAGTGGTTGTTGTTATTGTTATTATTACGACTATTATTTGGGGTCTGTGTCGTCTACTGTTCTGTCCACGTTTGTATGTAGAGTGTGTGTGCGTGTGTCTGCTTCTCTCCCCCCCCCAGTCCTCGGGGCTGTTGACGGAAGCGCCCGTCGTGGGAGAGGCGTGTCCGGGCGACTCATCGGGAGTCCCTCTTCGTTGTTGCCGGTCCACCTGCAGCTGATTACCTGACCAGCTGGTGGTAATCATCCCTCCCGGCTAGGAAGAGGTATTTAACCTGGACTCGCGGCGACAGTCGACGTGGGATTATTACTCCTGACCGGTATAGTCTGTGCTAGGCGTGTGGTCTTGGTAGTCGACTAGCGTGTGTGGCTAATTGTGGATTGTCCTTCTTCCTCCAGGAAAGTCGAGCGAAGAAGCGAGTTGGGGGAGCACACACACTAAGGGAGCTACAGCACGGGACGCACTGGGAGCAAGGGATGAGCACCATTGGCAAATTACATCTCTGAGTTAATTGTTGGACTTACCTGTCTATTCACTGTAAATAAAGTGCACTGTGGCATCGCAGAGTCCTGCGTTTTGGGTCCTACTTTCCTCACCCCGACAGATACCACACTTAAATAAAAATATGATACTCATAATCAGGAATGTTAGCTTAGCTACACGTAGCGACTGTAAAGACTAAGACAAGCTTCGTCCTGGGGCTAATTTCCCTTTGTTTCCGCTAAAGCTAATTTATTAATTACTTACTGATTAAAGTGAACCAATTGTGTCAGACACACAGTGGGTTGCGAGCACAGCAGCCCCATCACCACCTTTTCAAAACTTCTTTTTGGAAGGGCTAGCATATAAAAAGAAAACTGGCTCAGAGAGAGAGGGAAGAAAGGAGCTAACGCAGCTTGTTTCAGATACTGGGAAACACAGAGCAGTAAAATAGGCGAGTATAAAATAAATAAAAATGATTTTGAACTGTAAATCTTGCAACACTACTCTAATAGGATCCAAAAATAGAAATATGGAATTGGAAATGAGCATCGTAAGCTCCCCTTACTGCCTTCTTACACCTAGCAACAAATGACACGCGAGCAGCGCTAATGTTAGCTAATGAGCTAACTAAATGACAGCCCTTACCTCCCCATTGAAGAAGCAGAATATGGTTGACACCAGCAAACCCTGAAACAAAGATGGAAAAGGGAGATAATCATTTCTTTTCTAGTAAATTCAGTTTGCTTTTTTACATCTAAAAAAATCACAACAGAAGTAGCCTCAGACAGTGCAGCCATCTGCCGAACCGTTGGAGGAAAGAATTGCTTAGACACATGATTTATTTATTTATTTATTTTTTAGAGGGTGTGACTTTATAGAAGTGAGACGGGAAAGCAACTTTTAAAGAGAGAATACAAAGACATATTGGGGCAACAACAGAATTATCTAATGGGCCATAAATATTTCATGGATTGTTTAACTCTTTCCTCTGTGGATGCCTACCAGGGTCAACCCTCATTTCTTTTTCCTGAACTGAGCGGCTTCTGTTGTATTTCTCGCCCGCCTCCTTCAAATGTCGTCTTTATGGGGGAATGAGTAAATTAAGAACCTACTAAAACATAAAACAAAGCTAAGGTTGAACCCAAATGTTTTTTTAAGGGAGTCACATGAATAGATAATAACAACCACAGGGCAGAGAACGATGTTTTTAAGGGCGTAAAAGTTCAGTCATGCAAAATTAAAAATCAGCATCGTGAGCCTGGGGAGCCCAAGGGTACGGACAACTCTAGGTTGTACACTGTCTCAGTTTTGCACTAAGGTTTCCGTATAAAGTAAAGCTCATGCTAAGCATATTTATTGCAATAATTTAATTGCTTTTTTCAAGGTCATTATGATTTAAGCCTGAGGTGCAAAACAGCTGAATCCCCAGGGCAGTGAAGCTGCACTAGCCTCCTTTTTCAAGTCGTTGTTAGATTTCTCTGAACTGAGCTCCTGTGTGTTTGCTGCAGCTCGTGCCTACCTGGTAATGCATGAGTATGTGCATTATGTACTCGTAGACTTCACCAGCCAGCCGGTTCTCCGGCCTCCAGGGAATGATGACAAACTGTATTCCCAGCAGGGGAACCAGGATCAGGGTGGCTCTTACTGCCTTCATGTACATGTTGGACTCTGCCCGGTGCGTATCTCGCAACTTGGTAACCAAAACTCTGATAATATTTAGCAGGAAAAAGAGGTTGACCTACAGAAAAAGAAAAAAACAAATCATGTATTAAACTCTAAATGAATATAAAAATATAAAGACTCATCATGTAAAATGAGTTTTTCGTGCTTTTTCTGTGTGGAAACAGTGGATTAGCAGACTTACAAGAAGTGCTGCCACTATAGGGCCGTGGATGGCGTAGAGCAGATGGGTCTCCACACTCATCCAACAGCTACAGAAGGAAAAACATATCAGTCAGTGCTGTCAGCCTCCCAAAATACACATGCGTGCACACACATATGAAAACACGCGCGCCTGCACGCTCTCACTCTACCGCACACAGCCCAGCGCAAATGTAAACATCTTCTGTTTATTTGCCGAGGTTTCTGGAACATTACTCACTTGTCGTCAAAATACTTTTTCCTTGCCACGGCGTGGATGGATACAGGCACTAGAGGAAAACCTTGGAGAGGAAAAGATGGGAGCCATATGAGGTCTTGAGTGAGTTTTGTGAAATTGCATTTGTCATTAACACAACTGTGAAAGCGTGGTTTAGCTTTGTTTGCTGGTCTAATGAAACTTTCCTTGGAAAGCCGGGTCCTCCTTATTTCTGCAAATTCTCCTGCGACAGCTTTATTGTTGCACCGCTAACAACAAAGACAACACTACCACACGGTTAATTTTCTGTTACTTTTCCCTCAAATTTGACATTGTGTGGGTAAACACCCACTAGACACTGGGCACAGATTTTTCATCTTTTCTTCTGGATATAAACGCAAAACTCCATGTAGGGTCCATTTTCAATGAGGCCCTGCAGTGTGCTGGCCACAGATGGATCTGACAAGCTGGCCTCCCTCCATCCATCCACACACACACACACACACACACACTACTACTCTCTACACTAGGATCTCTACACTACACTCTACTCAAGGTTATCCCAACATTTTTAATGATGATCATCCATCCAGTTCCATTGCCCGCTTTTTTTTTTTTTTTTTTGACAGACTGTGTTATTCCTGTTTGGAGCAGTGTGGAAAACAAGACAGGAACAGCACTAAGCAACAGGAGGGCCAATAAAGCTGTCAGCATGTCCACAATGAAATACCTTTATCCAAGACCATGATTTCTTGCTTTCACATTCAGATATTACAATGCAAACTCTGCCCTCTGATCAAACAGACGACTGCTCGCGAGCATATTTACTCAGATCTACGATATACTGCTGCTTGCACAGATTTCCTGTGATCCAGTCTAATCCACCTCCTTGCATGAAAGGTGCTTGTTTGTTTATCAAACTTCTGGTTCCCAGTCACTACCTCTGCTCACTTTGTAAATTTAATAAAGTGACAGCCAGCTTAAGGGAAAAATAAATCAGGCAGCCTGCGAGTCAGTTCATTGTTTTATTCATTTGTCACTAGCAGTCTTGCTCATCTAATGAAAAGCTTGATTTACTACATACAATAAGCCTACTATAGTGTGTTCTTCTAAATCAGCGGTCCCCAGCCTTTTTTGCGCTATGCACCGGTTTAATGTCAGACAATATTTTCACGGATGTGTCGCGGATAAATACAACAAAATAAAATGATACGACCAAGACAAAAACTGTGGTATTTTGTAAATATAATAATAAACGCGAATTCACTGTGTAATTGTATAACTTTGTTAACAGCGTCCTCCTGAAATGCGCCAACAACATTGAGAGTCACGTCCTCCTCTCTGCCCCTTAACGCTCTCTGGTTGCTATGGTAACGTGTAAATATTTATTTCAAAATAAGACAGTCAACTACAAAGACCGAGTTGACAATAAAAACTATGAAAACCATAAATTTCACACCCAAGCCTCAACTCTTGCGGCCCGGAACTAGTCTATGAGTTCATGACCTGGGGGTCGGGGACTGCTGTTCTAAAACATATGGTGCATGCATGTATATAAAATCGTGACTGTACAAAAGGAAGGCACACATTTCTAAGTTATGAGAGGGAGAGGGAGAAAATATCTGTTCCTAAAGGGCTCTCACAGAATTAAAGCACATGTACTCATAAATTGGGGAAAGGACAATGTCATTGGTCAACACCATATCTAAGACTTGAAAGGACAGTAGATGTAAGTAGGAAACGTGGGAACAAAGAGTTGGGGAACGGCATACGGCGAACTGTCTCCTTTGTGGAATCCCCACCACCACAGCAGGGTTATCAGCTCATACATAAAGATGCATGAGCAGGACTGGAGGTCCAAGAGCAAGTGAACAGAAGCAACTCGGGTGCAAGGATGGAAATGTTTGCAAGCATTTGAGTTCAGAAGACTATTAAACTGAGTGCAGACGTTTAAGGGAGATCATTGTCTGAACAGGAAATGTACAAATGATGCTCTTAAACTGAATGACTGCACGCTTGATATTAAAATAACCTCAGTCACAAGAAAATTGTTAGATTGTACCCAATCTTGTTGAATTGCTTCTCTGGGATTTTTCAAGTTGCAAGAATAAGTTTTTACAGACACACTATAGCAAAGAAACAAAACAACAAAACGGGATGTGGTATAAATGACTCACCCCAGCCCAGGAGGTAGTACCAGTGCAGGTGCTGCTCCTCTGCAAACACCGCCACCACGATGAGCGTGTGCAGGTAGATGCCTTCACAGAGCATCCAGAAGTAATTACAGCCCAACATGTACATGTGAAAGAACTGCAACACCTTACAGCCAACCTGCAGGGAGAACAAAATCAATCACATCAACCTTTTTTCTGCTTTGCAGTCTTGTTTATTTTTTGAATAAGATGATCCAGTTGAAACAGTCGTGACATCATCTCAGCAGGAGACATAAAAACGATTTAATGGGATGTTTCAGCACTCGTGGCACAAACTCATTAGCCAGTATTATTCTTTTTCATACTGAGAGGATGTTTATTCATTTACCCCCATCGGTGGTGGGTTAAGTTGGGAATCATGATTCTCTTTGTATTTGGAGCCCTCTTTGATTGTTTTCGTCTCACAAAGAAGTGGGATCAAAGCCCCGCTCCACATTAGTGTTTTATAAAGAGCCGTGCAATTTTCTATTTATGCATCCACCTTAAAGCGACATCATGTCTCGTTATTTTTTCAGTTCCTTTTATTGAGAATTGAGACGTTATGATAAGAGATGATGACTTGATGACACATTCTTGGTATGTCAGTTTAAAAAAGAAACAAAACGGTCGATTAATGCCATAATTATCAAGAGTATCTGGTGCAGTGCAATCAGTTATAATTCCTCTAATAAATGCCAGACAGGCACCAATAAACCTGCCTGTGTTCAGAATCTACTAAAAAAAGAAAAGAAAAAAATCTCACAAACTTTTCTCCTAAAATAAGTTAACTTCCACAACATTTGTCATTACCGAATCTCAGGAGATTCGTTAAGGAAGCATGTTTTTGGACGGGAATCTCTGCCAGTCACATCAGCTTTCATAGCTTTTTCCCCACTCATCCAAACACAGATTGCTTCCACTTCCCTTGCGCCCGAGTTTGGATTATGTGGTTCTAGCAAAAGCCAAAATGGCACCAATTGTGCATTCATCCAGAGGGTAATGGGTAATTTCACAAATTGCAACAACCAATGCAATATATTAGGGTTTCTCTACAGTCTAAGATACTTTTTATAAAAACTATTGAGCATCTACCCATTTTCTTCCACTTATCCTATTCTGTGCTGTGTGGGGGAGAGCGTGGGGGTCCTTTATGGGTTTATGGGTTCAGTCACTCATCTCATAAGTCTTCACATTCATGCTTCTTAAAGCAGGATTATCAGCGGTATGCTCCCTGACTAACAACTTGTGATTGACAAGTCATTAGCCAATGAGCGAACAGTTTTACGGTCAGACCCACCGCTCTTGTCACATCTATTTTTTTGAAACCAAGATGTAAAAATGTATTTATACAGTGCTTTTAACAACAAGAAACTAGTCACAAAGTGCTTTACAGAGACACCAAAAACAAGCTCCAAATGAAGACACAAGAACCAACAAAAACAGATGAGTTTAAACTGTTTTTTTAAAGGATGCCACAATGTCAAGGGTGCGAAGAGAGGGTGGTGAGCTGTTCCACAGTTTTGGTGTGGTAACGTTGGGAATGCACAGTGGAATCACAAGAAGACCTCCATCTGCAGGCCTAAGAATCCAGCTTGGAGAATTGGGGTGAAGCACACTGACGATAATTGAGGGCTTCACCTCATAAAGAACCAAGATTTTAAACTGATACCTAAACCTAACTGGAAAGGAAAATAGCATTTTCTCACAAAGCCCCTTGAACATGGAATAATTAACAGACTGACCCAAGTTTAAACAGGCCTCTATCTGTCGGTGAATTTAAAAACATGATGCAGTGAAGGAGACCTGTGGATGTGTCTTATAAAAATCCAGTTAAAATTTTAATTT